TTTGAGAACACTCTTGGAGTTGTGGATACTTCTAAATGGCAGGACCTTGTACTGCTAGTGTTGTGAACCTAAAAAGAACTGAAGAAAACGTATATGAGCTGGATGAGAGAAAAGCGAAAATATGCATCTTGCAAGTTGAAGGACGAAAACCAGTCACACTTGTCCAATGCTGGGACGACGGTAGCAAACATCACCATCTTGAACTTCTGTTTTTTAAAAACGTATTCAGTGCTCGCAAATCTAGAATGGGTTGCCATCCTCCCGACTCCTTCTCAGAAGAAATAATGGGAATAAAAACCTTTTCCTGTAAAGTAGGGTGGGATTATTTCTATCGCCCCTAAATGTAAGTGGTGTTCAACTTCCTGTTGGAGAGGGATGAGGTAGAGAAATTGGAAGAGGATATAGACATAAAGGGGATAGTGTATCCAAGATTAATTATTTGGAACACCTTTCTATCTGATGTTATTCGTTGCCAGTTCTTATAGAATGGGAGTAGATAGTGCTGAAAGAGCTCGTGAGATGATGGTGGTATTGGGATAGGTGAGAGGCTCTCTCGACCCTCAACATGCTGCTCAAATTTGCTTACTGGGCTGTTGCAACTACTGTGTATTATTAGAAGGTGGATGCCGTCTTTGAGATCTGTTTCTATCATGTTGTTATTACTGTTGGTCCTGTCCGGGGTAATGTTGGATATACTATGGGTATCTTGGTCTGGGATATGGCTGATAGTTGAAATGTCTTCTTCTAGTTCAGTGGTCTCCAACCTTTTTAAGCATGAGATCACTTTTTGAATTTAAGTGCAATCCAAGATCAACCTCAAACCCAAATACCCTTGCCACGCCTCCTTTGTGCCCCTCCTCTGAGGCCCCTCTCCTGCTCACTCCATCCCTCCCCCATCCTCCCTCACTTTCACCGGTCTGGGGCAAAAGGTTGGGGTGCAGGCTCTGGGCAGGCAGTTGGGGTGTCAGAAGGGGTTCTAGGCACACGGCATTTGGCTACAGGGGTGCTCGGGGCTAGGGCAAGGGCTTAGGGTGCAGGAGGGGGTTCATGACTGGCGCAGGATTTCAGGATGTAGGCAACAGTTGGGCACTGATTACCTCAGGTGGCTCCTGGGTGGTGGTGCAGTGGGGCTAAGGCAGGCTCACTGCTGTCCTGGCCTTGCACCACTCCCAAAAGCAGCCAGCAAACTCCATCCCAAGTCCTGTTGTGCCCTCTCTCTGCTCTATGGAGATAGAATACAGGGTAGGAGAGGGGGCATCTTGACATCAGTGCCCCCTCCCTTGCCTCCCTTTTACTGCACAAAAGCAGGAGGCTCCTGAGGGGACAGCTCCAAGGCAAAGGGCAGGAGATGCACAGCAGTCTGGGGTGGGGGCAGCTGAAGTGCTGGACTTGATAACTTCTTGGCCAAACCAGTTAGGATCCCCTGCCAGAGGCTCCAAGATTTACCAATAGATCCCGATCTACTGGTTGGTGACCACTGTTCTAGGTGTTGGGTTGTAGATGCCATGGGATATGAAGGTTGCCCTGGAATCTTTCACTGAATGCAGCACGTCATTAGTATTGGCTGCAAAGTTTCACATCATCAAAGGGTAGATCCTCTACTGTGGATTGAATCTCCCTGAGGAAGGAGGATGAGTTGAACCAAGAGGCTCTTTTCATGACCACAGCAGTGGCTGTGGACCATGTGACCATATCTGTAGCATCTAAGGTTGCTTGTAGGGCTGTCCTAGAGATTGTATGTTCCTCCGCGATTACAGCTCTAAATTGTTGTTTCTTAGCCTCTGGAATGTCTGAAATAAAATAACTGAATTTGGAATAATTTCTGTGGTCGTATGTACATAGTAGAGCAGCATAGTTAGCAACTCGAAATTGCAGCACCGAAGACATGTTGACCTTGCAGCTAAATACATCCAACCTTTTGCTATCACAGTCCTTGGTTGTGGTTCTGAAGTGCTGCTGTTTGTTTTTCTGGTGTGCAGCTTCTACCACAAGAGAATTTGGTGCAGGATGAGTGATAAGGAATTCAGATCCTTTAGGCAGGATGCAATATTTTTTGCCCACTTTTCTGCATGTGGGAGTGTCTGCGGCAGGTGTTTGCCATATAGTTTTAGCTGGCTCCATGATTGCTGGGTTGATGCGTAGCGCTATCTTGGACGATGTCACTGACTGTAAAATGTCTATCAACTCATATTGGTTCTCAATAACCTCCTGAAGCAGGATGTTCAGCTCTTTAGAGACCTGATTAGAAAGATCCTGAAAATGGGAAAAGTCATCAACAGTTCTCAGAGGAGGCAGCATTACTGCTTCATCAGGCTAAGAGGAATCATGTGTCCAGAGACATGTTGGGAGATGGGTCACTGTGGTTGTCCTCTGCAGCTTGTTGGTGCTGAAGAGATGGTGACTGTGGTGGAGGAGAGTGTTGGGAGTACACTCTGATGTTTCTTGGAATGTTGATATCTATGGCGGGACTGCCATGGGCTCCAGTATTGACAGTTTGGGTACGGCATCAGGGCTGGCATCTAGGGATTATCACACCACAGTGGCATGTCTGTGTGCTTGGCATATGGTGGATGGGTTCTAGCAGAATAAATGGAGTGGTCTATCAGAGGAGAGTTGTGTGGGGAAAAAACAACATCCATAGGAGTCCTCATAGGAGTTGCTGAAAAATCTCTCCGGTGAGATGGTTGGCTGTGGTAACAAGGTACCTGGAGAGCAATCAGTGCCTAGAAAAGGCGAATTAAGTATCAATGCTATGAGCAGGTCTCTATGGTGCATATGTATTGCTGGGCTGGAGTTGACAGTGCTATGGTTGGCTGCACCAAGGCAATCTATGGTGCTGGATGTGTTCCTGGCAGTGAGTGCACTGGTGATGTTGTCAGTGCTGTTATGGTGCTGGAAGACAGTACGGAGGTCATGCTCAGCACCGGGGTTGGTTGCGGTGCCAGCAGAGTATTATCAGTGCTGGGTGGTGCCACAGAATGATAGGCAAGCAACTTAAAGTTTGTGGCTTTGGTGCGGGGTTTTGAAGGACCTACTCTTGTGGTGAGCCAGATATACCCAATGTGTCGTAGGTATTGAAGCGCAGAGCCACCACTGTTCTCAGCACTGAAGGGGTTGGTGAGTGTCTTTTGTGTGCCAAAGTGTCCTGAGGCAACGAAGAAGCTCACTTTTTTGTGGGCTTTTTGTCTTTATGTGCCTATGGGATCTCAGATTCTTGCCCTGGGTCAGAGGCAGGGTGTAGGGATTTTTCAAGAAGTATGAGCTTGAGATTCAAGTTTCTATCTCAGTGAGCTCTAAATTTAAATTTGTGCAATGGGGGCACTTCTGTGACACACATGCCTTTCCTAGGCAGTGGACACATTGTGTGGGTCTGTCAGACACAGGGATAGGGTCACTGCACAAGGAACAGCGCTTAAATCTCAGTAAGCCAGGCAGGGTGCTACTAAAGGGAGTAACTGGAGCAAGGAAAAAAACTTTTTTTTTTTTAAGAGGAAAAACAATGAACTCTGAACTAACTAACCAGGGTAGAAAACAGGGTTCAATAAGAGAGTTAACTCATTCCATGTTTGGATAAGTAAGGAACACTGCCAAGCTCCATCTCTGGCTGGAGATGGTAGAGAAGGAACTAAGGAGAAGGGACAGGGGCTCATGCATGGGCAGCAGCTGTTCAGTAGGAGCATGTGGATAGAGACACGTGCATATGCGGCCCCAGGACACTGCTCTGAAGACTCCGATCCTTGGCATGGCAGTGGCGCACCAATCTGATGTGGAGCACACACTGGAACCTTTCTCTCTCAGAATGTCTTTTATTGGACCAGTTTCTCCTGGTGACAGAAAAGATTTTGAGTGTACCATTTGACTGGGTTGGGTTTTTTTTTGAACCCAGAATTTCTGGGTCCAGTGCTATTCTCCCACATTGTCCAAGAGGTGGAGCGTGACCATTTTCTAGTCTGAATGAAAACAAAAGAACCTGCTTGGAAGGTGTCATTCATCCAGGCATAAAGTCTCTTGCTGTGCCCATCTTTAAGCAGGATTAATTTGTTGTACGATGGATAGGGATTGAAGCCCACTGATTTGGAATCTACCATCTTATGATCCTGTATTTGTGTGTGTGGGGAGAGGATCTGTTTAGGGGGTGGAAGTTGTTCAGGGGAAGTTTGACTGAAGGATTTCAATCCAGACAAGGATTACTGAGTCCAAATGGTTGAAAATAAAGGAATGAAGTCTGGTCTGAAGAATTTCAGAAGTTTAGATTCAGATCGATCATGACGGAGTTGCTAGCAGATAGGATACTGCAGGGTCCCTCTCACTGCCAAGGGTGGTAGGCGGGAACTGAGGGAGAGTAAGAGCCACACACACTTTATGTCTTTCTGTGGAACAAATGCAGTGCCAAAGGACACTGCTAGCACAAGGAATCCAGTCACAACTCTTACAGTGGGATCCACATGGGCACATACTTGAACAGCATATCATAGAATCATAGAACCATAGAGCTGGAAGAGACTTTAGAAGGCCATCAAGTCCATCCCCCTGCCCAAGGCAGGACCAATTCCAATTAAATCAATCCAGCCGTGGCTTTGTCAAGCTGAGACTTAAACACCATATGAAGGAGCTGCCCTGAAAACTGGGGTAAGAGCTTGAGGAAGAGCTCTATATCTTCTCTCACGGAAAGGCACAGAAAAACCGTGAGGGCTTATCTCAGAGACACCGTTATTGGGACTGGGATTCTACTGCTTAGAATAGGGACTGGGTATCATGGCTACTGGGCTCTACTGCCAATTCTGATTTGTTGTGAAACCTTGAGCAGATCACTGGTCTGTGCATGCATTTCGTTGCCTGTAACACAGGAAAAAGAATAGTAATCACAACCACTGCCACCACGGTTCTATCTTCCAAGGGCTGGTGATGACTACTAATTGCTTGGAAAGTATTTGGGATGAAAAGAGAACACAGAAAAACAAAGCAGAACAATTCTATTGACTGAGCCAAACAGCAGTTACCTGTGCTGCTTCCCATCCCCACTGCCTGTACTTGGGATCATGTGTAAATCTCCACATATACCAATAGGTCTCTATCACCTCAGGCCGTAGAATGTAATATTTTTCATTCTGCCGCACTGCCACTGCCTCTAGGCCACCATCAAATTTGAATGCTTCAGGACCCAGCTTTAATGCTGAAGAGAGAAAAGAAAACAGGAAAACTTTATTCCTTTTCAACCTTTGGGGGGAGGGAGTTACACAAAGCATGTGAGTAAAACAGAAACTAAATCTAGCTTTTCTTTGAAACAATCTCATAAATATTTCCCATTGTCAAGGCTTGTCATATTTCTAATGAATAATGTATTCAATTCCCGTGTTAAATCTACCTATCTTGACAGGAGCATAGTAATCCCCTTAGAAACTAATAAAACACTAAGAACATAAGCATTTTAACACATTCAATTATAAGGTAAATTTTAAGTGAGACAGATTGGTTCTTGCTATGCATAAGCAAAAGAGAAAAATGGTCAGGAACTTTGATTTAATATGGCAGAGTGGGAAAAGGCCTTAGAGGGTGAATGAGGAATCAACATCGCAGTTCTCACAACAAGGCAGTAAATATTCCATTATATTTCAAAATCTGTAAACCTCAGGGAAGCACAGTCTTTGCCACAGAGGCATCTTGCTAAGATTTGGATAGTGCCTGCTTTAACACCAAGATGAAGCCACTGGAGACAACAGACCCAGGATACCGCATTGTGCCTTGATTCAAATGACTGAGCAGCAGGCTGTATGACAGAATACACCACTGTGCATGTGACCCATGACCTATACTCTGTCTACAGCTGATAGGGTATGTCTACACTACAAAGTTAGTTCGAACTAACTTAGTTCGAATTAGTTAATTCGAACTAAGCTAGTTCGAACTAACGCATCTAGAACTAAAAACTAGTTCGAACTAGCGTTTTGCTAGTTCGAACTAGTAAGTCCACATTGAGTGGACTCTGAACAGGGCTTAAGGATGGCCGGAAGCAGTGCCGGCAGGGCATAAAAGGAGGACTTAGAGCATGGAGATACTGTCTCAGGCTAGCCGAGGGCTGCGCTTAAAGGGTCCCGACCCCCACCCCGGACACACAGTTCTAAGGGGTGCCCCGCTTGCAAAGAAGTTCTGGCTTGGAGTGCCCTGAGTGCCCACACTGGGCACATCACACCACTCGGCCATCAGCCCGGCTGCACTTGCCGCAGGCTGCCATCTGGGGAGAGGGAGTAATTGGGGGGCTGCAGGAGAGCTTCCACCCCCAGAAGCCCGCAGAGCCAGCCCAGTCCTCCCCATCGGGGGCTCGTACCCCATTCCTCCCTCACCTCCTTCCACTTACCCTTCCCTAGCCCCCCTTCTTATTGATGTACAAAATAAAGATAACGTTTCTTCCAACATTGACTCTGTCTTTATTGAAAAAAACTGGGGGAGACTGGGAAAAGGAGGTGGGAGAGGGGAAGAGAAAGGCTGGGAGAGGGGAGGGCAACTAACATGATCAGGGGTTGGGAACAGGTCCCAGATGAAGAGAGGCTACAGAGACTGGGACTGTTCAGCTTAGAAAAGAGGAGACGGAGGGGGGACAGGATAGAGGTCTCTAAAAGCAGGGGTTGGGTGGAGAGGGTGCATTCAGAAAAGTTCTTCATGAGTTCCCATAAAGAAGGACTAGAGGACACCAAAGGAAAGGAATGGGTAGCAGGCTTGAAACTAGTAAGAGAAAGTTGTTCTTGACAAAGCAAATAGTTAACCTGTGGAACTCCTTGCTGCAGGAGGCTGTGAAGGCTACAACTAGAACAGAGTTTAAAGGGAAGTGAGATCAAGTCATGGAGGTTGGGTCCATGGAGTCCTATTAGCCAGAGGGTAGGAGTGGTGTCCCTGCCCAAAGTTTGTGGAAGGCTGGAGAGGGATGGCACGAGACAAATGGCTTGATCACTGTCTTCGGTCCATCCCCTCCAGGGTCCCTAGGGTTGGCCGCTGTTGGCAGACAGGCTACTGGGCTAGATGGACCTTTGGTCTGACCCAGTACGGCCATTGTAAGCTCAGGGCTCAGGGTCGGGGGTCTCAGTGGACCCCCTTGATTTTCATGCACACCTGGTCCTGGGTGGCCAGGCTGGCAGCTCTCCTGCCCTAGACGGCCACTTTCCTGTGCCTAGTGCAGAGATCGTGGACAAGGTCCATTATGTCTGCACTAGCCCAGGAAGGTGCCCACTTCTTGCGGTCCTGGGCAAGCTCCCGGGAGCCGCCAGCCTGGGCCTGGGGAGAGGG